TGCACTGTACATGTTCTATGTTTATTCATCATACATAACATTAATGAAAACGTGTTTCAATAACAAACAGTCGCTTGTTTTCATGTACGTGCGAAGCGCAAAATTATCACTCCGGTCAATGGATCAGTGTGTACTCCATTTTCTATCTCAGCTCCCGGGGGAGTATACAAACCATGTTGCCTGAGAGGCGCTAGAAGGTTGACTTTCACATTACCATCGAATCCTATCGGGTACCCAGTTACTGCTTCGTGAATGGCGGTATATTTCGATCAAAGGGGACACCACAAGTGCTACATGTTCTTCAGTGTGGGGCAGGAACGAAGCCCTAGAAACGCTCAGGAGTTAAGCTGCCGAACACGGTCACCCATCCACCTACTCTCCGCGACCAAAGTTTGTTAACTTCAACTGGTATGTGACCTGTGCCTTTTACACATTTGCAGCTGACAGTCAATGTAGGGTTTAAATGATTTAAACCAAACGTGGAGAGGCCAAACTGGGCCCGAGCATAGAGCTCTCCTTCCAGCCATTAACCCCTTGATGACTCCTGGTTAGAATTGGTCCTCAGCAACCTATGTTGGTCGTAAGAGCCACCCTAATGGATCGGATGGGGAAGCTCGGTGACTTGGTTCGTTGATGGCGTGATGACTTGGATCGTTTGTCATAATATTAATCACTTGATTCTCTGGTCTCGACTCGATTACTGACAGGCCGTCGTTATATAGATGTAGTATTGTCATTGTCGTTAAACAACATTACTCCATTAACGACGCAGTCACACCTCTGAAAGGCGTTGTATAAAGTATGGAATGGATATTGAAACGAGTTTGATTGGAATACTGGAATGGAATTTGGAATGAGACTTGGAAAATACCCCATTTACAGACAAATCTCCAGCCTAATATGCTAAGACAGTTTATTAACAACTGTCACCGATATATAGCAGATAAGCTCGGGGACGTAGGTGTTAGACATACCCAGACCGGGGAACTGTTTACAAAACTGTCAATTCAATTCACGTTATTGTATCAACAATGGACTGCACGACTCAGAGTTTTTTTCATTGGGAGATGAGTATATTCCAAATTTCTTGCCATACTTTACACTATGCCAATCAAAAATAACGCACTAAATAACGCAAAAATAACGCAATATTTCAGCTATATGATGGTAGTCTATACATTAATCGAGTCTGGACCAGAAAATCCAGTGATTGCCATCATTGGGGATGCGATGACATGCTTCAAACCAAGTCAACGAGCCTGACCACCCGATCCCGTTAGTCGCCTCTTCGATACGGCAACCATGGGTTTCTGAAAACCCGGATTTTCACAGGGTTCCGAAATTCCGCTGAAAGCTACGGGTGTATTATGATTGATTCGGGCAACTGGTTATAACAGCTGAAGATATAAATGAGCTATAATGTGGAATGGTTCCGCAGCTAATTTAATGGAAGTCGGGTTTTTTGCGCACGGCATAATACTGAGGCTCTGATATTCAGGTCATGCAGTCTCCCGGCTGATGTACAAAGCTGTGCACCACTTCAATCCACAAGGCAAACTCTTTGTTTGTTTGTTTGTTGTTGTTTTACGCCACAATATTCGAGCTATATGACAGCTGTCTGTAAATAATCGATTCAGTACGAGACAATCCAGTGATTGACATCATGAGCATCGATCTACGAAACTGCCATAATATGACATGCATCAACCAAGTCAGCGAGCATGACAAACCCGATCCCATTAGTCACGACAAGCATAGTCGCCTATTGCAGCAAGCATGGGTTGCTGAAGGCCTATTCTAACCCGCATCTTCACGGGTTTGAGATGTCAGCGTTACTAAAATTCCTTCAAGATACAACATATTAAATAGAGTACACAGCACTCCGCAGAGAACAAACGTAAAATAAATGAAAAAGCGGATATTTCGAATCCGTCGATACACACCTTACATATGATGCTGCGCAAATCCTTTCTAGAGCCAGTCTAAGTTTGGTTTGCTTGTAGCACGTAAGAAAAGCTTTACGCTTTCGGAAAAGACAATAGGGTGAGTATGATTTTACGCCGCTGTAAGCAATATTCCAGCCATATCACGACTGGCCTTATCTCCTTGAAACAAGGAATTCGAACCCGCCTTCGGTGTTACGAGCAACGCTTTAACCACTGACTACTCAATTGCACATAAAAGGACAAAGATATGTGTGTAAGCTAATAATTTAACCAGACATAGAGACGTACAGAACTTATTTCATAATTCGTATGTGCAGGCCTCACATTTCTTCATCAAAATATGAAAAAACAGGCCACAGAAAACACATTCACACTGAAATCTGATCTTGCAACTTCAGAATACAAGTGATGAAAATGATTGCTCTTGCCTTGAAAGATGCAAATTGACGGCCGTTATGAGGTCAGGGTGACGCAATATGATCCTGGTTAAACTGTAGCACTCCCTTCAAGATGACGAAATAAGCTATAACAGCATTGAACGCCATTGAGAGCCACTTGTATAACCAGTGTTACGGTGTCACACAACCAGAGGACGGTTATTCTTGTAGTGAATTTGGAAGTGCTCCATTGTCATCTAAATTACAGATGGCGTAAATATACTCTTCAAAAAAAGAAACGCAAAGCCAGATTTGTGTGATGTACGATATACATTTATACGAGGAACCGTACAAAGTATTGGTCCAAAATGTTGTGGAGAGAACACTTGGTGATTGTAGTCATCTCAGTTATCGGTACATAGGCAAAGTCCAAGGTGAAGGTCAGCTACCATCAATAACGCGTATGTCCCCCGTTTGAATCGATAGCGGCCTGACATCTCCTGCCCATGGAAGAGACGAGAATGCGAATCACATCCTGAGGGAGTGGTAGCCCACTCGGCCTGCAACGCAAAAGCCAACTGCTGCAACTTTTGGGGTCGTGGTTGACGTCGGTGTCGCCGTCTATCCAATGCATCCCACAGGTACTCTATCGGGTTCAAATACAACATCAATGTTGTTGTTATGTAGACAGGCTCTTGTCGAGCGTTGTCCTGCTGGAATAGACCGTTGCCGTTGGCTGCAATTGGGAGGACGTGTGGTAGAAGAATTTCGTTGATGTATCGTTGAGCCGTAAGACTGCCCTGGATATGGACCAAACCTGTCCTGTCACATGAGAGATATCCTCCTACATCATAACGCTACCCCCACTATCCCTGTCCACTTCCTGTACGCAGTTTCCGGCGTAACGTTCTCCCCGACGTCTGTAGACCCGTGCTCTTCCATCCCCTTGACGGAGGAGAAATTTTGATTCGTGGTTGAACCAGACATCTTTCCATCGCAGTTGAGGCCATACCCTGTGTTGACGACTACAATGCAGTCGTTGTTGACGATGTTGTCGACTCTATGTGACGCGTCTTACAGGACGTCTTGCTCGTAGGCCTGCTGCTCTTAAACGGTTGCGTACGGTCTGTTCGGAGATTCTTCGCAGTCCGGATATTTGGGATGCGGTTGCGGTGGCTGTAGTCGTCCTTTCACGTAGGTGGCGCAGTCGGGTGTAACGATCTTGGCCGGGGGTGGTTACTCTTGGTCGTCCAGACCTTGGCCGATCCCATGTTTACCCATGCTGTTGAAACCGATCCCATAGCCTTGTGATGGTGATGGGCGCTACATTGAAAACCCTTCCTACAGCTGAACGGGATTCCCCTGCCTGCAAGTGGCCTATGGCGTTGTTTCTTTGCACCTCTGTTCTGCAGTGCTTGCAGCTCCATGGCCCTTTTATTAATCCACTGGGTGCGTTTTTCTGAATCGAACGTGTTTCCCGACTAATGGTTTGCATGCCCTTGTTGTAATCATTTTGATCCGGGAAATTTGTCACTGACACTATAACACATTAAACCTCTTCATTTTGCACCTCTTGGTCCGCTTTTTTTCCTTTTATGGCCAAAAATATCCGTATTGCGTTCTTTTTTTAAAGAGTATATATTGTATTTTATGCAGGAGTAATACAGGCGGACAGACATACGGACATATTGACTTGGAGAGAGAAAGAAATGCGGGCATATTGACTTGGAGAAAAACTGACATGCAGACATGTCGACTTGGAGATAAACAGACATGTGGAAAAGTTCATTTGGAGATGGACTGACCTGCGGACGAGTCGATTTGGAGATGGACAGACAAGAACATGTATCGCATGGCGATCAGATAACTCGCAGATAAACACGCAGACAAGACAAGTCGCTGACCCGAGAACGGATTCGTAGACAGACAGACATACAGACAGACAAGGGTGAAGTCAGATGAGGCAACTCGCCTCAGTTGAATGGGACGCTCATGCAGACGACAACCGGTCAAAGGGAGATAACCACGCGAGTAGACGGGTTTCCGTCTTACCGTCTTAATCGGCCTATCGTTGGGAATCACATGTCTTGAATCTTGTGTTAATTTAATTTACGAAAATAGATATTGTTTTAGACGTTAGGATTAAATAATTGAGTTTTCTATCAGTTATGCGAGCTACAGTGATTTATGAGAGGAAATTTGATAGGAATATAGCACTGCGATTGAAAAGGGAGTGATTTGAAGAGTAGAATGCGTCATGATGTACTGTAATACGAAGACAACTGCGCTATTTTGATGTTTTGATTAAAACCCTAACTACTTATGGCCTAATAATTCTTCATCAGAATATGAAACAGGCCACCGGAAGCACATTCACACAGAAATCTGATCTTGCATCTTCAAAATACAAGTGATGAAAATGGTTGATCTTGTCTTGAAAGATGCACGCAGCAAATTGACGGCCGTTATGAGGTCAGGGTGACGCATTATGATCCTTGTTAAACTGGTGCCACTCCCTTCAAGATGACGAAATAAGCTATACACAGCATTTCCGTCCGTCCATTGAAAGCCCCTTCTATAACCAGTGTTACGGTATCACATAACCACTGGACGGCTATTCTGGCAGCGGACCGCAGTCAGCTAAATTACAGGTAGACAGACATGTAGACAAGTCGACATGGAGATAGACAGACATGTGGACTTGGAGATAGACAGACATGTAGACTTGGAGGAGGACAGACATGTGGACTTGGAGGACAGACATGTCGACATGGAGATAGACAGACATGTGGACTTGGAGATAGACAGACATGTAGACTTGGAGGAGGACAGACATGTGGACTTGGAGGACAGACATGTCGACATGGAGATAGACAGACATGTGGACTTGGAGATAGACAGACATGTAGACTTGGAGGAGGACAGACATGTGGACTTAGAGGACAGACATGTCGACATGGAGATAGACAGACATGTGGACTTGGAGAAAGACAGACATGTGGACTTGGAGATAGACAGACATGTGGATTTTGAGATAGACAGACATGTGGATTTTGAGATAGACAGACATGTGGATTTTGAGATAGACAGACATGTGGACTTGGAGATAGACAGACATGTGGACAAGTCGAAATGGAGATAGACAGACATGTGGACTTGGAGATAGACAGACATGTCGACAAGTCGACATGGAGATAGACAGACATTTGGACTTGGAGATAGACAGACATGTGGACTTGGAGGAGGACAGACATGTGGACTTGGAGATAGACAGACATGTGGACAAGTCGACATAGAGATAGACAGACATGTGGACTTGGAGATAGACAGACATGTGGACAAGTCGAAATGGAGATAGACAGACATGTGGACTTGGCGATAGACAGACATGTGGACAAGTCGACATGGAGATAGACAGACATTTGGACTTGGAGAAGGACAGACATGTGGATTTTGAGATAGACAGACATGTGGATTTTGAGATAGACAGACATGTGGATTTTGAGATAGACAGACATGTGGATTTTGAGATAGACAGACATGTGGATTTTGAGATAGACAGACATTTGGACTTGGAGAAGGACAGACATGTCGTTTTGGAGATAGACAGTCTTTTGGACTTGGAGGAGGACATACATGTGGATTTTGAGATAGACAGACATGTGGACTTAGAGGTGGACAGACATGCCAACATATATTCACATAGCTGGAATATTGCTGAGTGCGCCGTTACACAACAAACAAACAAACAAACAAACAAACAAACAAAACATGTGGTGGGAAGACCATGCCCCCAGACCGTGAAGCATGGAGTTAATATTATAGAACTTTCATTGCCTTTTCGACGTATTTAAAAGATAACAATAATAATGATAATTTAGATATTCCCTTCAAGGTCACAAATAACAACATCAGTCAGCATACATGTGTCAACTGAAAGGGATGTTCTTCCCATTGACCATTACTCTACATCAACATGTTATTTCATTCGTATTTTAAAATCGCTTCGCCCAGTACGAGCATTGTTAAGAGCGGTGAAAAGGTCATTAAACCAGCACGGCTGCACTTCCGTTAGAGTTCAAAATCCTATACACTACATACAAGTCATGATATTGTGATAGGATTGTTGCATGCCGTGTGGGTTGTAGTTGGACATTTAGGAGGTAATGTGGGTGACAGTTAATACTTAGCTAGTCGTGAACGCATTTGTCAACTATGAACAGGAACTTTTATGGCATAAGTGAGTGAGTGAGTGACTATGGCATAACGCCGCATCAGCAATTAGTTTAAGGCATGAATAAAAGGAACATAAATACAAGGAATATAAGGTATAACAGCTTCTATATTATTTATACAGACACCGTTTGAGGGTGACTTGGGGCTGTGGGGTAGCCTAGTGGTTAAAGTGTTCGCTCGTCACGCCGAAGACCCGGGTTCGATACCCCACATGGGTACAATGTGTGAACCCACATCTGATGTCCCCCGCCGTGATATTGATTGAATACTGCTTTAAGCGGCATAAAACAATACTCACTCACCAGGCGAATAACAAGGTGGGAGAACATGACATACACATTGACGCACGCACACGCACACGCACACACACACGCACACGCACACGCACGTGAAGCCAATTGTAATTAGATACATAAGCCAGATGTGATTAGATTAAGGTTAATGTATACAATAAGGAAAGAGTTAGTGGAGATGACAGTTGTTATACGAGAATTGATACAAGGTAATATCATAAACAAAATGTTGTAAATGTGTTTATACAGTGTATCAAATGAGTAGTTATGGAGTTGTAGGACATTTATACAGCCAATGAAAATTAAATGTCCCCTGCACTGGAGACGAAAACTCCACGATCCTTCATATTTATTGTCATAAACATAGGATAACTCTATTATCATTGAGTCCAGTGGAGAGTTGGGTTTAACGCCGCTCTGAACAGTTTACCAGTTATATCACGGCGCGTCAGCTTGATGTGGGAGGAAGTCCCGATGTGATGCAGGTGTCCGTCGTTTACCACTTTGGTGAAAACGAGATATATATATATATATATATATATATATATATATATATATATATATATATATATATATCCTTAATTACAGATTTACACTCTAACTGTAACAAAATGTTATTGTTTATTTATTGATGCATGACGTAAAGTTTGTATTTTGGTTAAAACATATTTAAAAGTTTATTTATTGTGAACGCTGTTCTCAACGGCAGTGGATCTAGACAAAGGTGTCATTACACAACAAACTTTAGTTTGTCGATATATGGCCACATACATAAGTGTTTTAGAACACTGCGAAAACAGTTTGCGAGCCAATCTGTGAAGTTTGACAAACAGTTGTCGAGACATAGAATCGGTGTCTATTTTCACCATCATTTTGGGCAACATTTAGTGTTTTCAAACTCGATTTTGACTTGTGAATTGTTGTCAAACACATGTCCAACCAATCAGACACTGCGTAGTTGGCTCGTGATTTTAACTTACATGCGGTAGCTGAAACGTTCTGATCCTTTACATGCGGTAGCTGAAACGTTCTGATCCTTTACATGCGGTAGCTGAAACGTTCTGATCCTTCACATGCGGTAGCTGAAACGTTCTGATCCTTTACATGCGGTAGCTGAAACGTTCTGATCCTAACCACGACTATATAGAACACCCTTAAGAGTTCGCATGACGATTGCATTAAGTACAATACTGTCCATGCTTACAGGCTGCATTTGAATCAAATACACAACCAGACAGCATATTTCTACAGGCATCAAAGTGACTAGGTATTCTCTGTTGATGAAAATAGAAAATGATATTGGCTACGGCAGTGTCATCAAGTATCTCCAACTGAAAGGGCGAAGTCCAACATCCATCCTTGTGGACATGGTGTCAGCTTTAAGAGATGGTGTTCCTCCCCTTGCCACTGTCACGAGATGGGTAGTGGAGTTTAAGGGGAGAAGAGGGAGCAGCAAGATGATCCAAGATCAGGAGGACCTTCAACTGCAATCACTAAGGAAAATATTGATAGATACAGGACATGTATGTGGATGGTGAACGACTCATCACACGTCACATAGCCAACACAGTATACGTAGGCATCCCTGAGACTAACATTCTGAGGAATGAACTGGGCAAGACGAAGGTTCCAGCACGGGTTCCAGATTTCAACCTGTTCCAAAACCTGAAGAAAGACCTGTCTGGCAAGCATTATGCAAATGTGATGACGTCAATTCTGCTGTTTTACACCACCGGGGGGTAGCCTTCACAGTGGGATCCAGATACTCCGACATCGTGTGTGGACCGCGGAAGGGTTTATGTTGAAGAATATTTAGCAATCAACGATGTCCATCGCAGTTGGGCTCAGACCTTATCAACCATCCCTCGTACGTCTGCAACAAATTTCAGAGAAAGAACACGTGCTTGTCGTGTGAAAACTGCAACACGTTCACCAAGCTGTGTATGCAAATTTATATTGCCTGTGTGAAGCCGCCTCAGGACAGGATCACAAAGTGCCGATTATGGCTCCCGTTTGAGATCACGAAAAGTGAAAAAGTCGGATTACTATCCTCAGTGATCTGGAATGTCCTATCATGGTCTGAACGCAGTCGTATACGGTTGTAACAGAGTCCTACGGATCGGGAAAAGTCTAGAGAGGTCGGCCAAGCACTCCCGACAGTATGGTGCGTCCCGTAACATTCGGGAAACTCAGCTGATTTTGTCTAGTCGGATTACAATCGTGACTATGTCGTGAGAGATTCTGCTGTATCGGATCAAAATAGTAACAATGTCCTGTTGATCGGGACGCTGTCGTGATGAACGGGCATAAATTGTTCATTGCCGTTTCTTGTCGATTGAGTCCAGATTGCGTCCTGATCTTGCCGAATGCGAACCGCCTTTGTCGGTTCACTGTCCGGTCACTGTCTGATCTCTGTCGGAGAGAATCGGGACACTGTCGGGACAGATTCGGTCGTTTTTACCATGCGGTAAAAATCGGATCAGATTCGGATTGAGAACGGGAGAATCGGGACGAATTCGGCTGGAAACGGCTTAATCGGGACGCTTCTTGAACAATATCTGATTGTTTGTGAATTTCCCGCCACGAATCGTGATCAGACTTTTGATAAATTTTAATCGGGAATGGTCCTACTGACGTAGCTTGTGTTTCGGGCCGTTTTGCCTTGTATGGGCGTGGTCCCGTTTGCTACGTCACAATGGCCAAGATAGTGGGGGAATTAACTTGGTAGAGCTGATTACTCGGCTGTCACCTTTAAAACAGAGAGAAGGCTGCTGAGTCCCTTGAAGTCTTTATTCGTGGCAGAGTGGAATTTAATATATAGAGAGATATTTAAACAATATTACATTACAAGATAGATACATTCAATGACTTGTTACATTAAATATATAATTGACAACCATACATGAATTGATAGCGACTGGTTTAAACTTTCTTAACAGGACTGTTCTAATAAATAAGGTACAAAAACGAATTGTGAATAATAAGCGACTGGGGGGTATTTCATGTTATACTAGCTACAACATTTCATACAGGAACTGTTAACATTTACATTTACGGCATTCTAGCGTTACTCGTGTATTTAACATATTGTATAATTTCAATGCCGTAAATGCTTAACCAAATGATAGACTTAGCATGGCCAATATTCGTATGAGACGGTATTTACGTGAGATTACCCGTGGGTATTTACCACAATGTACTCTTTCTCATACTATGTATTGTACGGTTTTATCTATCACTTGGCATATCAACAGTTAATGTACAAGTGAACTAATCTACTGACATCCATATAAACACACACATACAATTTAACATTCAAGTTGCTTTGCGGTATAACGAATGACATATAACTTATTCTTAAATATTACAAACCATGGTAAATATAAAGTTGCTTGCACATGATATAATATAAGTTAAAGGCAAGGAGAATTGAACAAGAAAATAATGTTATCTTACCTTTAAAACAGAGAGAAGGCTGCTGAGTCCCTTGAAGTCTTTATTCGTGGCAGAGTGAAGTGTCTGCCACTGGACTCCGTATATATAGGGACTCAGGCCTTCTGTAGAATGCGTTAGTTACCTAATATTGAAACTATGACATAAATCTGCTACATGC